GCGGCTGCCCCTTCTGTCCTCACCTACAAGCCACCATAGCCCTTCTCTCGGCCTAGACCTAGTCGGAAAGGACTACCCGGCTAGTCCCGCACGTGCGAACATCGCGGCACTGCACGGCCGGGATCGCCGCCGTTCAGGTACGACACCCCGTTACTTCCCCGACCCCAACCCCGCAGGGGAGTTATGCCCGGCCCTGGGCTTGCGGTGGGGTTGCGATCAAGTGTAGCTTGTCGGTGCCACCACGACAAGCTACATGGGTTCGTTGTCGGGTTTGCTGAGACGTTGGTTCGCCCGATTGATTGTTCAAAAAGTGAGATCGAAGAGCTGGCTGGTGAGGCTGGTTAGACACTGTGGTCGGTAGAGCTGCCGCCATCAAATGAGTTGGGGTATGCCTTCATGTATTCATTATAGAATTCAAGTACCTGCTCACCGATGACCTGTTCGGCGAGTTCTTCATTGGCGGTTAACAAAACAGGTTTTTCTTCCTCGGTGATAAGCGTCTGGACGTCGGATTTGACGACAGTTTCGGGACTAGATTTTACGACAGCCAGAAGATCTGTTTCGATTTCGATGTTGGTCGCGGTGGTCGCGGATGGTTTTCTTCGGCCGGGTGACTGTGTGGCGGTTTGAGTGATGGCGGACTCATTGTTTCCCAGCGACGTTTCCGTCACCACTCGGTGTGCAGGCCGCCTCTCTTTGCCCTTTTCTGTCCTGCTGGTTTCACTCCTTCTCCCGGGGACCCTTTCCGTCACTACCTCCGTTACTGTCCTTCCTGTTCTCTTCACAGGTCGTACCTCGGACCGCGTCTCGGTAATGACCTCAGTTCTCTCCGTTCGTTCCACTGGCCCTCTTGCAGTCTCAGTCACAATCTCCGTGCTTTTACCAACTGGAATTGTTTCGCTCACGACTTCCGTCACTACCCTTCCAACTCTCCTTCCACCTTGTGATCCAGATCGTACTTCAGTCGTTTCGATCCGCTCCATCGGCGCCGCTTTGGTGGATGCTTTAGTCTCAAAAACACGGGTCTCAGTTGTTCTTTCTACAGGCACTCTTTCAGTTGTCTCTGTAACTATCTCCGTGGTTCTGTTTGTTTCAGTTAGCCGTTCAGTCTCAGTAACCACTTCAGTAGTTTTAATTCTCTCTACTGGCGTTAATTCAGTTCGTATTTCAGTCACAATCTCCACCCTTTTGCCTCCTACTACTGGCACTGTCTTCCTCACTATTTCAGTCACGGTTTCCGTCTTCCCGGCTATCTCTACAGGCGTCCCTTCAGTACGTGTCTCGGTAACCACTTCAGTCGTTTCAGTTCTTTCTACAGGCGCTTTTTCAGTCCGAGTCTCACTAAC